CCGCACTTATAAGCTAAGCTGCCCCAAACGGAGCCTTAGTCTTGTGGATAAGCATCTATTAATCATTACAAGTTTAAAAAAAATGAATTTATTTAGTATTTAGTATACTATAATATAGTAGATATGGCTTATATATTGAACATAAAATAAATCCAATTGAAATCTAAGTAAATATGCTAAGGTCAGTTGTATCATTTTAATGGATCATATACTTATGAAAACATGCGCATTATTATCTAGAGAGCAACATAATTGAAAAATACAATAAATATCATATGGTAATTTTATACTCATTATATGTTTATATAATTTCTCTAAAAAAAACTTAGGATTGTTTGGTTTGCTAAAAAGGAATGTAACATAAAGATAAATATTATTGTTGGGATGAATGTGTTGGAAATGCATTAATTTACAATTTTATGTTTGATTGAATATAACTAAAAAAGGAATGCAGTGTAGTACTTTTGAGTGGAGGATGGCGAACAAAGGTGTTTGAGGACTTGCGGTGGTCAATAATGGCTGACGATAAGGGAGCGGTGGCCTAGAAGTAGCTATGCATCACGGCCAACACGGCCAAAGACAATTAGTGGTGTAGGGGATGGTTGTGGTAGTTGCAACACCAATGATGGTCGGTGGTGTCGTTGTTTATAATGTGGTTGGAAATCATCAAAATTTGAAGCATTTGGAATATATTGAAAATGAACTAATTATGGCATTTCAAATTCAATCCAAATTTACATTACATTCATGTTTCCTCAACATAATCACCTAAAACTTCAAAATCCCTTCATTAGAGACGCATAACTCCTCTTTCGCAACAAAACAAACTAATAATTAATAAAATTCCAGAGTTGGAGGATGTAAAGGCCTGACGCCCTTGGCTCGGTGACTTCCTTCTGGAATGATAAGTGTTGAAGCGGAATGCTCTGTTGTTGCGAGTGTTGCGCTTGATGGCCATGTAACAAGACTTGCAAGTACTTTAGTGATGTGAATGTTTTTTTTTCCCACAGATGTCACCAAACGGATACATGCTAGAAATTTTGCGGCGGTAGACTAATCGATTATCGCCTTAGCGATGCAAGTAAATTTAGCACACACGTAGATGAAGAAAAACAACTAATGGAGACACCAAAAGTTTTTATGTGGAAAACCTTGAAAGGGAAAAAACCACGGGACATGACACAGTTGTAAAAAACGACTATAAGTTGATGTTTATAGAGACCCCTCGTTCCACAGGTGAGAAAGAGTTGCAAAATCTTATGAATTACAATATTGACATGCGGATGAACTTTTTGCAAGAAACGGGCGGCGACCGATAGCAATCGGCGACTATCGGTAGGTGGAGGTCAACGAGAGTCGGTGGTGATCAACGACGGCCGGTGGTAGTCGACCGTAGTCAGCGAAAATCACAGGGTGGCGAAGGGGGGCTACGG